AAAGAGAGAGATAACAAATTACTATTGTTTTCTTACGTTTAAAATTGCCCTTGATATTTTATTCTAATATTATTTTTGTTTTAAAATTTTATGTCTATATATACCATAAAAAATAAAAAATAAAGTCCAAGGGCAACGTGCCCCTGGTCACCACGTGGCTCCGCTACTGCGCATGGAGTTGTCTTTTGGTTAGGGGGATTTAAGAAGAGATTTAGAAAGAAAAAAAAAAAAGGGAAGGCAGATACAATTTAAATAAAATATATCTACATTTCACAATATTTAAACACCTTTTTCATTTTTTTCTTTTTAATTCCTTTTGAAATCTCCCAACTAATACATCTAAATCCACCATTTTTCTGTTGTGACCTGTGTGCTAAAAGGCACAGGTTTTTTTTTCCAAAAATTCTGAAAAGCCATGAATTCTAGAGAGAGAGAGAGATGAAACAATTGGAACATGAAACGAATTTCAACCCCTTGTTTTTTTCCAGATCCGGTTATAAATGTGTTGTTTTCATGTTACATACTCAAATCAAAATTCAAACCCACATGTTACATACTTGAATCAAAATTCAAATCCATAGTATATGAAATTCTACAAACTCAAAACAATTCACACAAACATGTTTTTGTATAGGCATGAGATCTTAAATTTGAGTAATCCAAACATAACCCTAAAAACACAATACATCAAAATTCAATACCTCCTCCACTCATCAACCTGTGTCGAAGTGGCTTTGATTAGCGTCTTGGTGTTCATGACAAGTTCGTCAATTAGGGCACCAATCTCATCCTGAGAAGGAAGATTTGAAGAAAGACTTGCTTTCCCCTTGAAAAACTTGCCGACATTAGAGTATCTTTGACTATCATCGTAAGAAATGCCTCTGCCCATTCCGTAGCCAAACCCTAGGCCGACTCCACATCCAACTCCAAGCTGTAAGCCGCGGATTCAAGGACTGAATCCAGTGCCGCCGATGAGGCCAATGTCGAGGCCGACACCATAGCTGGTGCCGATCCCAAAGACAAGCCCTAGCTTCCCTAATTGCTTCAATTTTATCACTTGAAGCCTTCATAGCAAACCCTTGTCTTTGTTTCCTGCTCCGATGTTTATCTCTCTTCCCTCTTGAACAAAAAAAAAAGAAGTTGAAACTGTGACATTTTAGGCACACCAGGATCACAGCAGTGGAGGGTCACAACAATGACCCCGGATCCTTCAGGGAGTTAGTGAAAAGATTATGATACATGCTCTTATAATTAAAGATAAAAATAACATAACTTCACACTTTCTGAGTCATAACAAAAAAAAAGAAAAAGATCACAACCAAACACTACATGAGGCATAACCAAACTTAAAAAAATTGACATAATTAGGGATGGATATGGTAAACCTCTTTCAAGGGGTGTATATAGTAAAACTTCCCTATTAGAACTCAGGTTGAATAATATAACAAGGATGTGCATGAAATGATGATGAAGTTGTATATGATGAGATTCATACCCAGGAAAACGTGAAAAATCGAGTGTGTAGTGTGGATTCTAAATTAGTGCGGCTACAAGTATACCTAGAATGAATATGTTCTACACATTTTATTTTCTGTCATTTTTTTCCTAGTATGTAGCATTTTAAAACCTGCAAATCAAGTAATGTTCTACATTTTAAAACCAGCAATTCATCAATCTCTTGATCTCTATGGGTTGTTCACCCCTTATTCAACATCAGTGACTATACCCAACAACAAAGTATATCTGGATCTCTGCAATTCAAGTCATGTCCCATAACAACACAGAATCATTGACTCTATTATCCACAACATGTAGTTCATTTCTAGCTAATTACAAAGTAACTTGGAAAACAAAACAGTTCTGATTTACAAAAAAATGAAAAAAAGTATCGTCTGTGTTTCCTAAATCGCTCCGGACTTAAGGAGCAAGCAAATCATATCTTTGGTAAGAGCAGCAATTTTCAGATTCTGCGTCTCCCAATTCTGTGGTGCACTGTGCACTATATTCGTCACTTGCTATTAAGCCGAACGCAATGAGTAGCAAAAACATTTCTGCAAAATCTGATGTTTTGTAGCACAATGCTCTTGTTTATCAACCTCTTGTAGTTTGAAAACTCCAAGTTAATTGCATTTCTCACCAATTATATTGAAAATATCAGCGACAAAAGCACTCTCCACAAAGCATCTTTCACCATTCCACCTAAGGGAAAGCAAATAAATGCAGCAAAATATCAGGTGAACACCTTCCCAATGCTGAATATTTTAATATAAATTGATGATGATCTAAATCCATATGCAATAGCCAAGTCAATGTAATGAAAAATGGCATATCGATTAGTTTCTTTCAGCCTCATTTTCATAGCAATTAAAATTTATCAAATGTGAAGAATGTTCTCATCTTTCATAATTGAGAAGGCAACAATACATCCTACAGATAGATTAAATTTTCTGTTAGCATCATGAATATCAAACATGCAACGTAGATCATATGGCTCTCCACAATAGCAGGCATTCTTCATTTTGGGTAATATTTGGTTGATCAGTGTACGTCCAATGTGAAGTTTACAAGTGTAGTGAAAAGCAAAGCAAATCATAAACATTGGAGGAGGCAATTCTTTAATTTCTGGCGTTCACATGACATGAGTTTTCAATGCTGCAAAGATCTGTAAATGATGTGAAAACAGGTAAGCGAGAGCAAAAAGTCAACGCTAACTTCTTCAGTGATGATGTGATTATGTGGGAAGTTGGATAATTAAGAAGCTGAATACAGTATAATCCAATGATACTACATGCAAATCAATCTTTTTCATGTAATAAATAAAAGAATTGACATATCACATTCTAGTGAATTTAAATTGTGAACCTAGCATTAATTTCTCAATCGGCTGAGATTTGGATTCCTATCATTTTGTTTTCACCCGTCATCTTACATGAAAAAATTTTATTATAATTTTATTTTCAAGTGAAATTACTATTATAGACATTAAATAAACACATTCGAAAGTTGAATGTCAAAAAAATAAAAAAAAAAATCTGAACTCTACTTCCAAATAAGTTGTTTATTTTCAAAATGCTACTTTCGAACCAATTGTTGATTTTCGGAATTCTACTTCCGAACCAATTATTTATTGAAAAAGATATGTAAAGAGGGGAATAGGTGTGTGCAAATAGAAGCTCCCTTGTTTCAACTGTATAGTCATTAAACATATTATTTTTTGCAGATAATATGGATTCTGAATGTCAACAACGTGTCCCACCTACTACTTCAAATAGACGACGTCATGAATTGGATGTAGACCATGAACGAGGACGAGGGCGTGGGCGAGGACGAAGTCAAGGTCGTGGTCGAGGTCGTGATCCAGTTTCGGTAGAATATGATATCCTCAGTGCCAGTCAAAGTCGGAGCCGAAGTCAAAGACGAGTTCAAGGTTATGATATGCTTGACATTACTGTGGAGGATGCCTCTTTACCTAATTCTCCTCTTGTCCAGGAAGAGGACCTTACTCATGCTTTTCCAGGTGGACCGACTGATCCATCAATACTGCGGAGTTTCAATAGTCATGTCGCTACAGCTGTTTGGCACGGGGAGGTAAACATTCATGAGTAGAAGTAAAATTTATTTGTATATGAATTTTTTTTTTCCTGTGTGTGTTGTATGATAGTTTCTAATGAGATATTATTTGTGTTATAGGAACGAGGGCCCCTAAAGTGTCATAATCACTCTTCGAAAATCCTTGCATGGCCATAGTGGTCAGTAAACAACAACACCAGATTCAAAGCCATTATCGCGCAGTCTGGGCTGTCTCAGTTAGCTCGTTGCACTTATCTGTTCGTCAACAAGCTTCTAATCTCTAGTTTTGTTGAGAGATGGCAACCTGAGACGAACACATTTCACATGACAGTTGGTGAGATCACCTTGACCCTGGATGATGTTGGCACTATTCTTGGCCTTCCCGTTGTAGGCAAATCAGTCAACGTACCAGATGTGACAGATCATCATGGAGTTACACTACTGGTTTATGGCTTAGGGATTACTGAACGTGCAACACATGAAGAGGTTTCTACTGCTGGTGGCAATTCAGTCAGGCTTGAGTGGTTGCGAAGTCAGTTTGCTGGTGTCACAAATTCAGACCCCGAGGAGGCTATACAGTGCGTTGCTAGAGCTTATTTGTTGTTTCTGTTGGGATGTACATTCTTCAGTGACAAGAGTGGCGGCAGGGTTCCTGTTGTTTACCTTGGCTTATTGATGGATTTGGGATCCATTCATACTTACGCCTGGGGTGCTGCTGCATTAGCATTTTTATACAGACAGTTAGGGTATGCTAGCCGGTCTGGGGTTAAGCAGATGGGTGGTTATATGACTCTTTTGGAGGAGTGGATTTATGAGCACTTCCGAGCATTCCGACCTCGCCAGAACATGGGCTACAATGAAGATATGCCACACGTGTACCATTGGGCATCTAGGAGAGAGGCGGGTTCTTCCATTGATCATTTGAAATTTTTTCAGGCCGAGCTTGACAGTTTGGTAGCTATTGATGTAAGTTTACTCATCCTAAGATAATTTTAACACTTTCCATTTATCTTACCCTTTATATACTGTAATTCAAAAACACTTTACGTTTACAGGTTATTTGGGATCCATACCACAGCTGCAGAAATCGGCATCCATGTAACCCGGTTACGTTCTACCAAGGATGCTTAAAGTGCTTAGACGTTGTCGAACCCTATCATCCAGATAGAGTTCTGAGGCAGTTTGGCAAGGTTCAAACCATCCTAGATGCACCGTTAGCTCCCAGTCGTGGTGCTCGAGGCAACATATCTGCACGATATACAGTCATGTATAGATACTTGGATAGGATTTGGGAGGCTTGGGATAACCACGTGTTATCTGAGCAACGAAGGAGCACACCAGTTCGTCAGCCTTAGGAATGTGTACCGGGTTACATGGATTGGTATAAGAATATCACGCATCTATATGTTGAGTACACTGATGAACCGCCTGTCCATGATCATCAGGATTTTAGCCAACATGCCGATGCAATATATTATCCTCTTTTATGCATTTGTAACTTACTTTTTATTTTCTGATATGTTCCCTAAAATGTGATATTCTTTTCAAATGCAACGTATTGCACATGCACTGCAAATTTCACATCCTATTATTGACGCTGGTTATGACGAGGGGATTCGACATCCTCATCGACTTTACCAGGCTATCGAGAGTATGACGCATGTCCTTCAAGGTCAGCACATTGACGAAGCTGGACCTAGTTATACTGGAGGTCGCTTTCCATCTTCGACATTGACATACAGTCGTAGGCCTAGGCGTAGGCATACAGCTGATTCATGACATGTTATTTGTTAGTTGATGAATTTTTTTTGGTGTTTTTTGTAAGATGATATTGTTGTAATGGTAACAGTGGTTAATATTTTCTTATTAGAATGGAATGGTAACAATGGTTGTTGATTTTGTAAATGATATTTTCTTATTACAATGGAATGGTAACAATGGTCGATAACATTCAATCCAGATTGCAAAACAGAACACATCAACATCAAAAACACATCCCTTAATTTCTTCCATAATTCTAACATTGTCAAATGCATACATGTGTCATGCGACATCAACAACATCAAATGTCTCTCGAGTAGCTACATTATCATGAATAATGTCCTTGAAATGTTGAATACGACGCACATATGCATCATCCCAGTCGACAGCGTAAGGGTGACGATATTTTCACCAATTAGTGGCTATAGGAGGAACTGGATGGCCTGGCTACAACAAAACCTGCACCAAATAGAGGTTAATTTTGTTAGTGGTCATACCTCATAACTTCTTGTACATGCACAAACCCAATTGATAAGTTTATGTTATACCTGGACGAAATGATTTTCGTTGACAAACGCAATGGCAATCTCGCGTCTATCAAGTTGAGGTACTGGCACTGTTCTAAGAGGTAAAAAGGTGAGACATTGTTGTAATGACAAGTGGTATAACACAAGATTGTAGCACGATGTAACAAGATGTCCCATGTCTGGCATAGTCATCCAATGTGAGTATCCAGGACTGTCTTCAAAGTATGACAATATGCTTGTCAATTCTTCAAACCTTTCGTAGGACCCATAAAGTGTAATGTATTCCTCTTTGTGTGTGCAGCTCACCCAAAAGATCATGCCTAAAAGGTGATCTTTGCTATAGCTACTTCAATTGGTCATACAGAAGATGATTGGGCTCAAGTTAGGCGTGACCTATTGGGTGAGCTGCACACACACAAAGAGGAATACATTACATTTTATGGGTCCTACGAAAGGTTTGAAGAATTGACAAGCATATTGTCATACTTTGAAGACAGTCCTGGATACTCACATTGCAGCCCTCGATTTATTCGATCTAGTTTCACGAGTGCAATGTGAAACATAGATGAGAGTCCAGATTTGACAACTTTTCTAAAAAATCCATTTTATTGCAAAACCATTACCAGAAATGGACTGCATCACCAGATCTTAGAGTCATTTAAGGAAAATTAGAAAACAGTGACTTGTGCCAAGGCCACTGTTCCTCGTAACCAAAGATGCTTCGCTCAGAACCTTAGGTATGAGAGGGAAAGGTTATTAATTAAGCACCCCCGCTCACCTGATTAAAGATCGACCTCTACTAAACTATGATATGAGTTTTATTAACTTTATATGTTCATATTCTGATTATTAAATAAATCCTAAAAGTTATTATGTGAAGCATACAAGTATAGACTATGCCATTCATTTTGGAACAATGTGATTTCATATGTTTTGAAAGAGTTTTGAAGATGTACAACTAAAAGAAATTGAGTTTACAATCATGAAAATCAACATCACTCCAAATTAAGCGACATAATCTCATCTACCGGCATTCATACAATTATATCAAGTAAGAAAGTAGCCATATGTTAATATGCTTAAACATAGTAAAAAAAACACATACAAATGAGATGCTAAAGCATGAAAACTTACATATTTACCGACGTCCCGCAAACAGCTACAAAACAACGTTAGAAAACTATGCATGATCTTATATACACAATTCTAATGCAATTCACTCATGAAATGCAACTAAAGATTTGAATTCTAAGATATGACGTGTGAATCATCTCAAGAATATGAGGTAGCGCACATAATCACATAGGAATTGATTAAAATAAAAAATGCATACTTAGCCGAATCAAGGTGTATAAAAGATGGATGCAAATCATGAATATGATTAAAAACAAAATATGATGCTTATGCTAAGGAAAGCAAGTAAAGAATAGGATAGAAAGAAGCGAAGCGGGGAATTATTACAATACTTGAAAGAATAATTACAAACCAAATTAGAGAGGGAGGAGGAAAATATTAGAACAAAATAAAAACCTCACAAAACACTCAAATAAAAAAAATAAATAAATAAATAAACAAAATAGAAGCTTCATGCACCTTGGAAACCACCGAGAATTGGTCAACATCGGAAGATTATGCCGTTTTACCAAAAAGAAGCTAACCATCCGGTCTAGGCCTAGCAAAACCTGTCTTGTTGTAACACCGAGAAAAGAACAAACAAGAAATATGTAGGCAGCTGAACTAACCACTTCCGATTAGCTTACAACACAACTAATATACATCTTAAAACAAGAAAATGACTATAAGATTGAAAGTGCAAGAAAATGAAAGAATTGAAAACTAACTGCTTTCAGTTAGATTACAATAAAACAATATGAAACAAGAGTAAGAAAATAAATATGAACTAAACTAACCGCTTGGATTACAACAAAACACTATGAAATAAAAAACAAGAAAATAAATTGAGCTAAACTAACCATTTGGATTACAACAAAACACTTTAAAATATGAAGTAAGAAAATAAATATAAACTAAACTAACCACTTCTAATTATATTACAACAAAACACTATGAAATAAAAATTAAGAAAATAATTATGAAATAGAAAATATAAGAAAATGAAAGACTTGAAATTCACCTTCCAAAAAAAGATTGAACTTCTCGATTTCCAAACTTCATCTTGATCACCCTCAATGTTGTGAATTTTGATCTCAATCTTCAATTCAAGAGCTTCGAATTTGAGCTTAGAATAATGTTTTGGACAAGTGTATGATCACTGTTTAATCTTCTTTAACTTAGCAAGACTACTCTCACTTTGATCAAAGCTTTAGGACTTGGTTCTTAAGTGGTGTTTGCAAAGAAATATGAGATGTATAGAGGCTTTATAACTTCACTAATTTGGAAAGACAATTCTCTTGCTTTCAAGGCTTCTTTTTTTTTCCTCTCAAATTCTAACTCAAATTTAGTATTCTCTCTACACTTCTCTTCTAATTCATCTCCTCAAACTCAAGACTAGAGCTCTCATTATATAGGCAATGCTAGTGGAGCAATGGTGGAATACAAAGTGGATCATTTAGGAAAGATAATGGAGCTAATGAGGCACTAAAATGGAGCATTATCCTCATTGGCTAAAGCACTAGTCAATGGAGGATGAGTAGGCATGCATTTGGTGCAAAAATAGATAAGAAATAACATCACGAAGTGCCCCACACAGTAAAAAAATCTCGCCCAATGTGAATAGGTCGCGATCGTGGTAAGGTAAGTTGCGCCCGCGGTCACACTCTTTGTGCCCGCGATGGTGCTACCGGTCGACCGACTAGGGTGGATTTTGTTCGTTTTTGCTCCAGTTCGGTCTTGTTTTGCTCTGGTTTGGTCTCACTTCACTCCGAGGGACGGGGCTTAAACACTTGGCTGATATAAGCTTAGGGTTAGGAATAAAGCTCAAATTCCAAGCTCTCTTTAATGATAATTTTGTGAGAAACACATTTTGATTGTCATCATCGGATAATCAAAAGTGCCCAAGTCTTAGGCTCAGTCAAAATGGGGTGTCTACAATATTATGTGAATTCTTTTTTCTTTTTTTCTTTTTTCCTGTGACTAATTTTTACTATTTTTATAACTATTTATAAAATTGAAATATATTGTGCGATTAATTTTTTTAAACTAATTTTTGTAACTATTTTTAAGTTTGAAACATAAACTATTTGGTTGAATTTTTAAATTTTGTCTTTTATTTTATTAAAAAAAATTAAAAATAGCTTGATAAAAAAATATCATTTTCATTTTCATTTTCAAATAATTTTTCATATGATTCTATTTTTGTTTTCAAGGAAAATAATATTTGTATGATTGAATATTATTTTTTATTAATTGTATAATTTGATTTATATTTTTACTAGTCTCTTACATTTTTTCTTAACAAATAAATAATATTTTTATTTAAAAATTAAATTTAAAAATAATATAAATGTTAGAAATAACTTGTAATATCTTTTTCATTTATAAATAACTCAGATATATATATATATATATATTTAAAGTACTTTGTAGGGTGCAAGTCTATTATGTGTGGGGGTACATGTTCATTATGTGTAGGTGCAAGTTTAGAATGTGTGATGTACAAGTCAAATCTATGTAGTGGTGCAAGTCTAGTCTGTGTTAGCATGCAACTCGAATCTGTGTAAGGGTGCAAGTTTAGTCTATGTGGTGTGCAAGTCAAATCTTTGTAGTTGTGCAAGTCTCGTCTGTGTTGACGTGCAAGTCAAATCTGTGTGGAGTGCAAGTTTAGTCTGTGTGGGGTGCAATTAAATCTATAAAGGGTGAAGTTGAATTTGTGTAAAGGGTGCAAATCTAATCTGTGTGGAACGCATATTTAGTCTGTGTAGGGGTGCATGTTTAGTATGTGCAGGGTGTACTCTATTCTGTATGTGTGCAAGTCTAGTCTGTGTTGGGTGTATGTTGAATCTGTGTGGAGGTGAAAGTTTAGTCAGTGTAGAGTGCAAGTTTAATTTGTGAGGGGTGCAAGTTTAATTTATGTAGGGATGCAAGTCTAATATATTTGGGACACAAGT